ACAGCTTTGCAGAGAATATTCAAGAATGTGATTTTTTTTTAACATAAACAATTACAGCCAAAAGCCTGGAAAATAAAATGAGCCGTGCTTGTATGGTTGGAGAGAGGGCCCAGGGGCAGGTCTTCACTTCCCATATATTATTTATCTGAGGAGATTCTCGCCTGGGCCACAATTGAGGGACTTCCTCATGGCAGTGCATATTTGGTAGAATTCTGCATCACAGGCATGAGCTGGATAAAAAATTAGGATTAATCTTAGAGTTGAGAGAAAGAGAAAGCCAAGATGTGTTTTTCCTATGCTTCTTGAAAGGGGACCCTAGGGGAAGCTGTACTACGCCCAGAGACAGTTACCAAGAAGTTTCTCGTGGTCTTGCACACTAACAGTGCTGGGCGAATGTTTTATGATTAGAGTTTAGAGAAAGTCCAGAGGGGCTATTGTTGTAGGGGTGGATAGAGATTCCTAGGGGAATGTGTGAGCTTCACAGATTTTTTTCTGCGAGGAGTTTCTCATCTGGATCACACTTAGGGTCTTCTGCCTTGCATGTGTCAGGGAGAGCAATTCTTCTTCCAGTTAGGGCTAGCATCGAGAAAAAGATTAGGCCTAGAGGTGCCATTTCTCTCAATGTGGAATCACATGCCCAGGGGAAGGTGTACCATGCCCAGAATTTCCTTCTCTGAGGAGCTTAAAATTGGGGCCACATTTGGATTTTTTTTTACTCAATGTGTTGTGTAAAAATTTAGGGGTTAGGGTATGGGTACATGTGGTATATGCCAGATGGAAAACCCTCTTGTGTGCTTGAGATAAAAAAAAAATTACAGAGAAAAAACCTTCTGCACACCCATTCCTTTCCCTGGGAACTGTCTCCGTATCTATGACAATTCTGCATGACTCTGCATAAGAGTCGCATGTCTGGCACACAACAGTCTCATCACTCCTAGCGCGGTCCATAGCAAGACCCCCTCAGAGACATTTTTTCTTACTCCTATGCAGGTCTATTTCCACACCAACAAATATATTCCTCTGTACATTCTCTTTCTCTAAACTCTAACCCTACAAGTTTTACTCGGCACATGCCCGGCACAGCACCCCAGTGTGGCCTAGATGACAACTGCTGCAGAGAAATTCACTCTGTGCAGCACCTTCCTTGTGCTGAGGGGCTCTTTCCAAAAGCATAACAGACACCTCTAGGCTCTCTCTTTCTCTCAACTCCAGCCCTAACAGTTTAACTCAGCACATGCTGGGCGCAGTACCTCAGTGAGGCCTAGACAACAAACTTCTTAGAGAAACACTGTGCAGCACACTCCTGCTGGGGAGGCTTTTTCCAGAAACATTACAATGACACCTCTAGAGTCTTCTTTCTCTCAGCCCTAACCCCAATCCTAAAGGTTTTACTTGGCATGTGCCAGGCACAGTACCCCAAGCGTGGCCCACATGAGAAACCTCAGGGACACTCTCTCTGTGCAGCACATTCCGGCCACTGGGGGGCTCTTTCCAAATCGTAACTACGAGGACGACACCTCCAGACCCTCTCTCAACCCTAACCCTAATCCAAACCCAAGAGGTTTAATGGGCACGTGCCTGGCTCAGTACCCAAAGCGTGGTCCAGATGACAAACTTCTTAGAAAAACACTCCGCAGTGCATTCCTTCTGCTGGGGGCTCTTTCCAAAAACATAACAACGACACCTCTGGCTCTCCCCTTCTCTCAATCCTAACCCTAGCTCTAACCCTGAAAGTTTAACTCGGCACAGGCCGGCCACAGTACCCCAAGCGTGGCCCAGAGGAGAAACTCCTCAGAGGAACTCTCTCTGTGCAGTGTATTCCTTGCATTCTCCTCCTCTGTACCCAGTTTTGTGTGGGTTTTGTCATCAGCTGGATACCTATGAGCCAGCTTTATGTTCTTCAAGAATATTTATCAAATTGTTAGTATGGACCTTATCAAAAATCCTCTCCAAATCTTAAAGGCACCAATAATCTCCTTCTTCTTTTTTTTTTTTTGTACTTATACCTATATTTATATTCATTTTTCTTTAGATTTATTTGATTTGTCCATTTCACCAGGGCACACTTTTTGGGGGCGGGTCTCCTTTTCAATGACATATTTGTAATATAACCACTGATCCTTATGCAAGGAATATCTTGTCTAGCTTTCTATGTTTTACATTATAAATCACTCAAAAAAAAAAATGTATGAGACCATAAGACCAGGCAAAAAGACACCAACAAAGTTAGTGTCATCACAGCTTAGCTCTGTATTTTTTTTTTCTTGGCTTTCCACCAGTTCTTTTCAATGCATTAGCATAACTTTAGGTATTCCTCACTGTTCTTGGATTTTCGTTTCTGTTCGCTGATTCAGCAGTCTGCAGTTGTATACTACTACATCTCTTCATACTAGCAGTATAGCTGTGTGTATTTGTGCTAGAGGTAGCACACAATCTTCTCACATGTGCAAATATGAAAGCCAGGTACTTAGAAAATAAAAGGATATTGGTAAAAAAAATCAGGCTGTTTGAATGCAGGTGCTCCAGAAAAAAGCTGGATAGTCAGCATAACTATTAGAATTGAGACTTGTAGAGTTGTATTAGACTTGAGACTACAAATCAGATTGTATTATCTAAATTTGAAGTTTTTTCATTGAAAAAAAAAAAAGGCAACCTTACTAAACACAGCACTGCTAATTTTTCCAACAAGTCAGGTGAAAACAGTAACTCTGGAAATATTTAGCAGGCATCACAGATGAAACAGGATAAGCAAATTTATTAAGCAAGTATTTCACATCAGTCAAAACAGCCTTTCATACTTTCATACATGCAAATCTTTTTTTTTTTTTTTTTTACGTTTCTACAGCAACTACACAGAGAGGGAAGGAAAACAATTTAACAATGTACAGCAGATCTTACCATCTTTGTCTTTTTTCCAGCTTGCCACCACAGAATTCATTTTAAAACTGTTCATAAATCTCATAGATTATGATAAATACTCACATGAAGATTTTAGTCTGAAAGTATTGTATTAAAGAGTACACAAATTGTAGTCATCTTCTCCCATAGCAAAGAAGCTATGCAGGACAATTCAGTTTAAGAGTAGCAAGGCTGACTGTCAGAAAATATATACTATATAAAAATCTTCTCATACGGGCCTTGATATACCCTAGTATTCTGAAACGTCAGGGATGTAGAAAACTATGAACATAATGAAGGAAGAACAGACAAACAGCATATGAGAAGGAAAAGCTTTTTTTTTATGCTAGAGCAACAAATGCAAGATAAATGTGAGCAATCACAGGAAACACCCCCCTGCTGAGTAAGAAAATACTTATTTGTAGTCAAAGAACAAGTAGAAGTCTTTCCGCTTCTCATATTCCTGGAACTTAAAACAGCTTTTGACTTCTTAGAAATGCGTTTTCTAGAAATTTCCATTTTTCTTGTATTGGCTCACACCAGGATGTTTCACAGATGCTCTCTGCCCCATCTGACTTGTTCACTTGTCCTCCTTCCACCACCAAAAATTTCTTCTGTCCCTTGCCCTGGAGCTTAATAAAACTGCAAAATAAATCAGTTAAAAACATTTTCTTGTTATTTTCCTTTGCGGACTTTCTTTGCTTCCTTGTTGGCTTAGCTTGCCAAATGACTCAATTAAACAGACCTACCTTAGGGCAGTTAGAGAGCCCAAGAGCCAGCTCTTACAGAAAGGGTCTCGTTCCCTCCTTCACCCCATGTACACATTATAGCCACTTCCAGCCTTGAATCAGCAGGAGCACTTGCATCACCCCGTGGTGAGACAGTTGGAGGGGCCAGCTGATGTGCTGAACAGAGACTGCTTCTCTGAAGGCAGTTACTACTACCCACCCCAAACCTCAGCTGGGTTATAACCACCTATGGACCTGTAGCCTCTGCTCAGCTGAAGGAAATTGCACACAAGATCTTTGCTGGCTGCCAGAAGGAATACTGTCTACCTACGGAATACTGCTTATATGCTCATCTAAGCAACTACATGAGGATAGTTGGGATAGGGAAGAAAGGGGGAAGCAGCCAGGCTTTACCTTGTTCCCTTAAGAGCCTGCTTTATTACATCTAAATCATGATTAGACAAATGGAACAGTCAATTGTACCACCAGCATTAGTAACTATGTTTTTTCTTGGTTTTACACAGAACTAAAAATAGCAGTAGTATCCTGGCCTCAGAAGAAAAAAAGCCTAAATCTTGTGTGATAGACGAAGTCGCTCCCCTACACTGACACTTTAGCAAAATGTTTTAAAATTGTTATTTATATAAAGCCCTTGTCTTGTAGTGGTGTTAGTGAAAGCTTTCCTCTCCTGCAGGAGCCTGCAGTAAAGGCAGGCCGGGCCCTGGCAGCGGCACAGGGCAGCACCCGCGGCGCTCACCCCTCCGAGCGCCCGCGCAAACGGGGCAGGAAGCCTCGCACGGAGCAGCACGGGCCTCGGAGAGGGGACCCAAGGGGTAATAGTGCCTGGTTCTGCTCAGGTCACAGCCAAGAGAACACAGAGCTTTGCAGCTCCTAAAAACTCAACCAAATGATTCAAAGAGCCTTAATATTTCACTGGATGAAATTTTATTTTTTGATAAAAAAGATAGAACCAAATGCAACTTTTAAATGAAATCATTTATTAAACCAATCTGTCTTATAGGAGGTATATATATATATTTTATCATTAAGACAACTTCAATTAAATGACTATCTACAAAAATGGCTTTGATTGTTTTATTTTCATGTCACCATACATGAATGAATGAATTTTATGTCTTATGAAAACATTTTACTCAGTATCAAAAATGTACACATTTTAATAACCATTACTATGGTCCTAAGGGATTTTTACATTTAATTTCAAAAATAAGTCATTTTATTGCTGTATATGTTACAGCATAAGCTTAAACCATCCTATACATAATAAAAGTGTTGTGTAGGTATATAGGAAGCTTTTCATGTTGTCACGTGCCTTCATGTTTGAGACTAGAAGTGGGAGGTTTGCTTTTTGCCTTTTTTTAATGCAAAAGCTAGAACATGTACTGATGTGAGCACAAAGCAACATTTAAAAATGAAAACAAGACCAGTCTGAATGGCACAAAAGTTAACATTTTCATAAATTAACAACCAGAGTTCCTAATCATGGAAAGAGATACATGAAATTCCAGTACTTCCCTTAGGGCTTTGCTCTCTGGAAGAATACCTGTTAAAAATGTGTAAACACAGTCTTTTAGGACAGAGGAATCTGAATCTCAGAATTATACAACAATTAGATATAAATAATTTTCTTTAACATACAGAAACACTGATCTCAAGGACTTTATATTAGACTTTGCTGATCTGAGGATTACACTCCTCAGAACTTCCCAAATGAAGCATATTGACAGGGTCTCTGCAAGTACAAACATCACTTTTTTGCTGTTTCAACTACACAAACAACACAAACTATATAAATACCAAGCTACTGAGGATATAACAAGGTGCTGAGCATAAGTGACCCTTCTACATCTGCAGTTATTTGGAAAGAAGGAGCATTCTTCTCCTAAAAATAAATACTTTTATTGCTTTTAGGTACTGTGAATTTCCAAGTTATGAAATAATTTTAGTCTGAAATTAGAAAAATCATTACTTCAATTTTTCTTCACTATCATGAAGTGATCACTATCACACTAAATTATGTGACAAAATTAATATTAAATTATAGACTCTTTAAAGAAACAAACAAACAAAAATCTTACCTTTAAGTAATTTTTGAACACTTTAGCATCAGGCTGCTGAAGTGCTTGACAGAATTCCTGTATGAGAAAATAATGAAATACTAAATAGGCGAAAGGAAGAAAGCAACTCAAGGTATGTTAGGGGTATATGAAAAAAAATATATATCTTTAAGCCGCTCATGTGTGACTGTACCCATTTTCCCTAATGGATTAAAAAGAACAGAACGAAAAAAGAAATCCACATATGTTATGGCTAAAAAAATTCATAATAGGCTTTAAGAGGAAGACAAAGTGCATTCTGGGGTGAAAAACATTAACATTCCCAATACACAAGCTAACACTTAGTTGAATACAGAGAGGCAGGCGTATCTCAAAGGACTGAAATTAAGGCAATCAAAAACAAACAAACAAGCAAGCAAACAAAAAACCCACAAACTTTTCCAGTAACTTTTGGTAGCTTGAAATGAATAGTTTACATAAGCTCTTACACCTAGAGTACTATATGCATGCTATATACTAGATATATATTAGATTACAGCTTTATATTACATATATTAGACTAGATTACAACAAAACCTGTCTGTCACTGTTGAAAAAAAATAGAAAGTCTTAGATCAAAATAAAACACTGGGGTACACGAATAACGCTCTATTTAAACCTCATGAGTGCAATTATATCCTGAATCAGTAAACCTCATTACTACAGTTTTTATATTGATTGTGATTAAAGTTTTGTCAGTCAGCAGGTAACAGCTCTCCCAGTAGCACAGGATGCTCCCCGTGTGGCTGCAATGTGAGCAGTGAAGCAACTGCCAGGTGTGCAGATTTCCCTTCCGAGAACCCTCCTGGACTGCCTGTACTCCAGAGTAAGGGCCAAGGGAACCCTACATTGTGCAGCACTTTCACAGCAGAAACACAGCTGTGACTTGAATTTCTGTGGTGATGAACATGACCTGTTTTTTTAACACTTGTTTTTATATATTTTTTATACAGTCAATGTTGTCACTCTACTTTCAAGTTCCTGATGCAAGTATCCTGATACATTTTAACTTGAGGGGAAAAAGTATTTGAATTAAAGTAGAAATGTGGCTTAGATATGCCCTGGACTCTTTCCTGCAAGGTATTCTTGCAGTAACTTCACTTTTTACACTACATGAATTGGACTCTAGTACTATTATATCAAAATATTTTTTATTTGGGGGCAGTAGGAGACTAATTTTGCCTGTATAACTTCTGTTCTCCTTTGAAATTTCCACTAGCTGAAATTTTCCAAGTGTTCTTTTAGGAACTCCTACCTGAATTATTTCTGGAGCTACTTGCAAAGAAGGCAGATACTCTTGCTGAAGATACTGAATGCATTCAGGACCCTAAAGAAAAACAGAACACAACCAGATCAAATATATTTTCATATAGACTTTTGAAAATCCAGGCTTACACCATAAGGTACAGAAAAGCTTGAAAATAAATAGTCTATTTGACTATTTTACATAGAAGGGGTGCATATCAAATATCGATTGCTCACATTATTCTCAGGTGTAGTGAAGGGAAAGATTTATCTCAGCCTTGGCATTAAGAACTCCAGGTTCAGTACCTTTTGTTACACAAAGGAAAAGCTTTTGAGAAATTGCACTGAAATAAGAACTATTCTAATAAGAACAGCTTCTTGTAATACTATGTAATTTTAGGTAGATAAATGGTACAAAATGGCATAATCCCCAAACCTCTGAGAGAAGCAGACAGGTCGGCTTTGGCTAATATGTCAGTATTTGTTTGCTTTTTTTCATCTGCATTTATCAAATGCCGCTCAAGAGGTTTTACCGTGAAGTGGTATACAAACAATGCCTCTTTAAGAGGAAAGTGAATCAACTTTTTTTTTTAATTTTATTTTTCTTCATCTGGGCATAAGTTAACACTAGAAGTGGAACCTGTCGTAAAAGTTCACCTGAAGGGTAGAAAAAGAGATTTCACATCATTCTGTTATAGCTTTATTGGTGGTGTTTATTAAGTATTTGCAATAGGAAGCATTTACCAAAGCTCCATTTCCTACAGATGTCTCACTCCTTTTGGGCATGAAGGAACACAAACTCAGAAGTATAATGCAATCTCTTCTCTACCACTTTACACAAAAATTTTAAGAAATTTCTTATATTTGTGTCTTTTTTGACTTGCATTTGACAGAGGGAGAAGAGTCAGCCACGTTTAAGGGTGTAGCAGAAACAGTAACATGGACAAAAACTGTTCGCTTTGCCAATAAAATGGAAATATGCTAATATGCTTTCACTTTTCCTCCCATTTTTCAAGTCAGATATTGAAAGATACTTTCAGTTTTTGCCAGAATACTCTATAGCACACCTCCAATTGCCTTTTTGATATTCAGTTTAAGTCTATAATGAAAAGCAGAAGAATGATAGTTTTTCGGTTAAATCAAGAAGCAATTAAGCAGATTTTTATCCTTAAAGAATGAATGAATATTTTGCTATAAACTGTTAGGAATCTGGATTCTATTCCTACATAGTATTACAGCCATTCTATTAATTCACGAGGATGAATTACTATTCTATTTTTGTATAAGTATTTTTAGAAATTGATAAAAGCGCTCGGAAAACCTGCAAGGGTTATTCCCTGCCAAGTACTGTGAAGCTTACCCTTTTGAGATGAATTGTTTTTAATGTCACTGCACATTCTGATAAAGCCTGTAATATAAAGCAGAACATTAGACTATTAAATTAGCCTTTTGGTTAATTGTTTAAATCCCAGCAAGCTAACAAGGCCCAAAACAGGCTAGCTCAAAACCATTACCACTGCCCTCTCCCTCACAAAATGCTAGCTAAGCTTCAACCATTACTTCCAGTTTTTGCTCCACTCTATCCAGACCATTCTGGCACAGCTAAACACCCAAGAGGAACTACAGAACAGCCATCTGTATTTGTTTACTTTCACTGAAATTAATTCATAAGTAATACAGGTCAATGTTAAACAGTCAAGACTGCACTTCTCTAGCACGCCTTTAAACATAGATGAGACAGAGGACCCAGTACCATACTTCCAAAAATTGGCATCCTGGAATTCCCTTAAAAAATAAAAGGACTTTTGTTTCTGAGAGAAGCCAATGTTTGATACCAAGTGTGCATGTTATTTATCAATTCCATAGAAATGAAAGTAAAAAATCTGTAATACGCACCAATACTGTCTGGGCATCTGCCAAGTCAAACGTTTGCTTTAAAGGTGCTAAGAAACATGCGGGGACAATGTGTTTGTAGACAAAGTCTGCAAAACCCACTGGTCCATCTTTGCCTCCTGAAAAGACAAATAACATTCCATATTTTATTCTTGCTCATGATAAGCAACAGCTAGAAAGGAACTATTAAAAGACAGTCTTACCCCACAGCTCCACCAGCTTAGAAAGAATAATAAAGCAAGTCTTCTGTGCAATAGGATCTGGGTAATCCACTGCTCCTTGAATGACAGTGAACAACACACGCTCCACATTCTGGGCACCTAAAAGAGATTAAAATAAGCTTGGATATGTATATCTGTATATCAGAAAAAATAACACACTGGAATATGTTTCAACTTAAAAACAATATGCAAATATCATTTGATTATGCAAAAAAAAAAAAAGGCTCAAATATTTTTGGGAAGCTTCCCTCATGAAGCAAACTACTCTTAAGCTATAATCCATTCCATTTGACAATTTTAATATTTTGTTTTCTTTGCCAGTCATTAATACAAAGGTGAGGATCGCACTGACTTACATACCAATTTTTTTTTTTGTCTAAACCTGCCACACTTAATTCTCAGCAGTACTTAATTAGTTTACATGCCTACTAACATAATCCACAGGTATTGTTCTGTACTGTTTCCATACTTATTTCTGTTTAATTCCTTTGAATGTCTTAGCTGATCACAAATGCCTCCGATGCCCCTCTCAAGAATGCTCTTGCTACATTAACACTGCTCTTTCCTTTCCCACAGCTGTTGCCAAGCATTTTAAGGATAGAGGAAAGAGATCTGAGCTCCATCAGCTGAGTCAATTTAAAGCTTTTCAGATCCCTAGTCATTTTGACTGAATATAGATTAAAAGGATTACTTAGTAAAGAAGTAACTGAATAATTGACTGTGAATTCCTTATGAAAAGTT